CAACTGGTGTCTTACCTTAGCTCCGCCCTGAGTGAGCTGTCATCAGTCCGCCATTGTTTCACCGCCGAAGCAGATGTAGACAAGAATGACTCCTGAGCGGTTGAGGTGTTTTGTTGTTGGATGTAATAATGAACATAGCAGTCGTCATTTACTCCCGACATCTGAGCCGCTGAAGACGCAGTGGATTACGTTTGTTTCAGAAGGGAATGCGCCCCTGATCAACCTAAATGCGTCTATCTTCGCGCGAATCATTCGTGATCCAGTCTCACCTAGAGAAGAAGTGAGTATAAGGTTTTTTAAATGAATATTTGCAAATCGACTTTCCTAATAATGTGCTAATTAGCAAGTTTCACGATGAATGCGGCTAAAGTTAACAGTCTCTCTGAGAGCGGATCGGAAGAGAGGGGCGGGGTCAGCATTGCTCATTAACATTTAAAGAAAAATGCTACAAAATGGCTTGCTCTGAAAAGAGCAGTTTTTGACAGGGTAAAAAAGGTGTTTTTTAAACTACCATTGAGAAATTTTAACCAAAAGTTACGGACTTTTCATTAACACCCTAAAAAATCATATCAACTTGTGGAAAATGGGCATCAGATGACCCCTTTAATGCTTAACATAGCTGATGTTCTCAGTGAAGAGGTCAAGTCGCATGTAATAATGAGGGTGATCTGTTTTGCTGGCAGGGACGTCATGCGTCTCAGGATGAGGTGACGGCCAGTGCGTATCAGGCTGTGACTCTGGACCAGCAGTATGGAGGTCAGCCTGTTCAAGTCCGAGTCTCCATGGGGAAGGAACCACGGCACTTCATGGCCATCTTCAGGGGCAAGATGGTTATCTTCGAGGTAGCACATTACTTGTTTTAAATAGAGATTTTAAAAATACATTTGGTTAGTGAACCGTTTGTCACAGCTTAAACATTAATTTGGCAGGAGGTACACGGTTCTGTGCTCAACTTCTACCTTTTCCTTTTTAATTTTCACAGAGATGCTCTTAATACACCAAAGTCACATTCTGTGTAAATGTGACGGAATTCACTGGTTGACTTCTATTGATTAATTTGCTGCAGAAAGCGGTAGACTTAATTCTGTTGCAATGACTCAAGCCAATCAACTTACTTTCAGATTAATACAGTAGAGGATTTTTTTCCTTGTGTTCTGTCCTACGTTAATGGTATTTAAAAAAAAATGCAGACACATTCTCCCTAACCCTTTTTTATTTTTTTTATTTTAAAACTCAGAGAAGAGAGTTCATCTCTCTTCATTCATTTTATCATTTATGTTATATGTAAAAGCTTGCTTTTGGAATATGCTTTACAGCATGTAAACAGCAATATGAAATAGCTTATTTAGCAGATTCATGAATGAATGAATGAATAAATAGCTTAAAACCAGCAATTTAAAAAAATAGTAATAAAATAAAGGTAACACTTTAGTTTAGGGACCAATTCTCACTATTAACTGGTTGCTTATTAGCATACATATTACTAGCATATTGGCTGTTTATTAGTACTTATAAAGCACATATTAATATTTTACTCTGCATGACCGTATTTTAGATCCCTTAATCCACCCCATACCTAAACTTAACAACTACCTTACTAACTATTAATAAGCAGCAAATTAGGAGTTTATTGAGGCAAAAGTTGTAGTCAATAGTTACATTAATAGTGAGAATTGGTTGTAAAGTGTGACCAAAGTAAATAACAGAGGAACACAAAACAACTCAAAATGACAGAGAAGGTCATAATCACAAAATAAGTACAAATTTAATGAAAATGTTTGTGTTCACTATGTAGCCTAATAAACCTACATATCTTTTAATGCAACAACCTCTTTAAAACAATACAAACTACTATTAAGATATTGTTTAAAAAAATTTTCACCTATGTGCTGCTTTTACATTAGAAACTGCGATAACATTATAATTTGCTACAATGTGTTCATAATGCAAAACGTTTCTCAGACATGCAATATCCTATTACCTTATGTGAAAGACACTGACATTATGAGCTAAAGATTTTATTACGAACGTGCATAAAGGGTCTGTTTTCATAATACTTAAAGGGGTCATATGACGTTGCTAAAAAACAACATTATTTTGTGTATTTGGTGTAATGAAATGTGTTTATGTGGTTTAAGGTTAAAAAAACACATTATTTTCCACATACTGTACATTATTGTTTCTCCTCTATGCCCCGCCTTTCTGAAACGCATCGATTTTTACAAAGCTCATCGGTCTGAAAAGCGAGGTGTGCTCTGATTGGCCAGCTATCCAGTGCGTTGTGATTGGCCGAATACCTCAAGCGTGTGACGGAAATGTTACGCCCCTTAACATACTGTGATGTAAAATGTGCTGCACACATCTGAATATTTGGGTTGACGTGTTCTGGAACAGTGTTGTAAATACAACTTAACCACTGATTTCTAGTCGTGTCCTCTTTTGGAAGACCAAACAAAGTAGTTTCGCTTTCACAACGAAACACACAGCGTCTCCACGACATAGCGGCAGCAACAATACTACAGCGAGAATAAAAGTTATGCCTTATTTCTTTGCGTGAACATTTGGGCGGCGTTATGCATATCTTCCCACATAGTGACGTAGATATGTGGGGGCGTGTTAGAACGAGCCGTTTTAGGAGGGTGTGGACGAATCTTAAATTTTATTAAGAATATCTCTTTGGGTTTGAGACTTTAGTCTTTGCAACTTTAGGGATCTTATCTATTCACAAACAGCTTGTAACACTCCAATATTATACCCCTTTAAATATTGCTTCGTTTCCATCCTAGGGAGGGACGTCCAGAAAGAGCGCCCCGGAGCCAGAGCCGCCCGTTCGTCTGTTTCAGATCTGCGGCTCTCACCCGACCAATTCAAAAGCTATAGAGGTGCCAGCTCTGGTGGCCTCGCTCAACTCCAATGATGTCTTCCTCTTGAAAAGCCAGAACGGCATCTACCTGTGGTATGGCAAAGTACGCAGTCTTTCTACTTTCACGACACTGGTAGTATTTTATTGGAAAAAAGCACTCAGCAGTTGTCAAGTGCAACATGCAATGTCGGCCCCTACTGCCCTCATAATGGACATTATTTGGAAAGCAGCACTAAGCTCTATATATAACATCTCAGGGGTCCAGTGGTGATGAAAGGGCCATGGCAAAGGAGGTGGCCTCCTTTATTGGTCGAGGCTCATCAGAGGAGATCATGGCTGAGGGACAGGAGCCAAATGAGTTCTGGGAAATCTTAGGTGGAAAAGGACCATATGCAAGTGACAGAAGGTACACCGAACCTTATTTGTGCAACAAAGTTCCAAACAATGGTTCAAAAATCAGAGGAGATCATGGATGAGGGACAGGAGCCAAATGAGTTCTGGGAAATCTTAGGTGGAAAAGGACCATATGCAAGTGACAGAAGGTACACCGAACCTTATTTGTGCAACAAAGTTCCAAACAATGGTTCAAAAGCTGTCGATGGGACAGTACCCTTATGTTAGGGAGTAATATGTATCTTTAAAGGGGTCATGAACTGCCTCTGTTGTTATTTTGTACTGTTCTCTGAGGTCTACTTATAATGTTATCAAGATTCTTACATCAAAAAACAATTTATAAGTAATAGGCTATTTTCTGTCCTCATCAGAACGCTCTGTTTGAATAGGCATGGAGGATTGTAGACTCGGAAGTAAATGCCCACTGCTAGAATTTAATTCAAAATAAAGTTCATCCACTCTTTCCTAACGTTGGGATCAGAAGGAAGCCAATGCAAAAACAGTTTTTCCACAGCTTGGCACTGCACAGCATCTTTTCGTCTTCAGAGTTCTTTGAGTTCTGAAACTTACAGGATGTTTTATAGTACAATTACCTCTTATATGTCAAAAGAATTTTGGTTTCTCAGTTCATGACCCCTTTAAGGTACTACTAATATGCACCCTTTAGGGGTAAATATAGGGGATTTCGCACTGGAGGAACCTTTTCATAGTTCTATGAACTATTGGCGGAAGTTCCTGCTTTTGGGCGTATTCGCACTGCAGGAACTAGGAACATATTTAGTTCTATGAACTCAGTTTGGGGGAACTAAATAAGCTCCTACTTCAGAGTAGGGTCTAAAACAGTTCTATACAGTGAAATACATATGAAACACCAACTACCCGGCATTTTTAAAAAGCCATGTAAAAATATTTACTCCATGAAAACAGCGATAACGGCATTTACCTGTTGTTTGCAGCGTTGTGTTCTTTTCTCAGCCTTGGTGATAACATTGCAAGTTGTCATAGGAGATTTAGTCTGTTTTCATGCTCTTTTAACTGACATAACATCTCCGTTATCACGAAACCCATGACACACAACAAAAACGGCTCCGATCACTGCGTCCTCCATTCACCGGTTGTTGACGTTTGTAAATGTGGCGAATAAAGATGTCGCTGTTGGCTGCTTCTGAGGGAGAAACTGGTTCTCTAGGAACCACGCTGCTGGCTAGTTCCTAGAAGTACGCAGTGCGAAAGCTCCTAATGGTACAAAGGTGTACCTTCTGAAAAGGTACTCCCCCAGTGACAGCTTTTGTGGGAAAAAGTTATTCATTCTTGGCTGTTGATGTTACGTCTTCTTAAAGATTACAGCAGGTTACTCTAGATCATCAACCGCGTCTTTTTGAATGCTCCAATAAGACCGGCCAGTTTATTGCCACTGAGGTAACCCAGTTCACACAGGATGATCTGAGAGAGGACGACGTCATGCTTTTGGACACGTGGGATCAGGTAGACCAGCACAGTTTGAACTAAAACTATACTCTGTTTCTCTGTAATGTAAAGTTTGATGGTGAAAGGCAATGTTTCTACAATAGTATCACCGGTATGCCGACATCTGCATAATAACAATATAGCAGCTGTCATAATAATGTAAGCGTTGACCCTAAATACCATGAGAAGTAGATTAGATTACTAGAGTTCTAAACACAGCCTTCGGCTCTTCTAGGTCTTTCTTTGGATAGGAACTGAAGCCAATGAAGTGGAGCGTAAGGAATCTGTGACAACTTGCCAGGAATACCTGCGGACTCATCCTGGATCCCGGGACCCTGACACACCTGTGATAATGGTGAAGCAGGGCTTTGAGCCTCCTACCTTTACTGGGTGGTTCATGGCCTGGGACGCGACAAAATGGAGCGTAGGTTGGATTTGCATTGTATAAACACGCTGAAAGAGATTTACAGACCTACTATTTAAGGAGTCATTCTCTGCTGATGAACAAAACTCGTTTTGCTGTAATTCACACACGGCTTTTATCCTTGTACTAGGGTGGCAAAACCTATGAGCAGCTGAAGGAGGAGTTAGGGGAGATTACATTGCCCACTAAAGTTGATTCTGTATGATCCTTTGTACCCTTGCATATAATACACATTTCAGTCAACATTTGCATCAAAGATTTGCGTCAAATTGTAATTTCTCATGACAGGGATCCAATGGTGCGGAGAATAAAACCATCTCACAATATGCACCAGAAATGCTGATAAACAAACTGTCTGGAGAGCTGCCTGAGAACGTGGACCCCGCACACAAAGAGGTGCGTATACAGCTTCATGTTTTGGTTTACAGGAGCTTGATCAAGCATTCAAGCAACATAAGGCGATCCTATTGTAAGTAGGGAAAAAGCTGCTTTTGCTCTAAACTGTACTGTTGTCCACCAAGAAAATCGTGTCGTCATTTGGATTTATTGAGTTCCCAAGAAATGTGCCACCTGCAGTCTATACAGACCTTCTTGACATCTTCCTGTCAAATTATGAGCCGATCCCATTTTCACACATGGCCCATGTTGATTAATTTACTTAAATGATCCTGCTAGGCTTCTTTTGTGCATGGAAAAAAATATTTTTATTTCATTTTTTTTTTCTTGGAACATTTTCCTAGGCGGTTTGTCAGATTTGCACAAAGTCTGACATGAATTATTTAAGGACACGCCTTGTTACATAACCAATTTAGCCAGTTTATGAGCGTGTCTTGTTTGCTCGGGTTGGTTTTTGTTGTATTCGTGGCCCACCTGTGTGCTGATTGCTCAGTATCTGTGCGTTAATAGTTGCAGCTCCAGCACGTGTCGTCATCTCTGTCATCTGTTCCTGGTCCAGAGCCTCTGTCTAATGACTGGGTTTGCTATGACTAACTAGCCTTACTGTAGTTCAGTAAAACAGAAGAGCATAGCACTAGAAATGCCAAGTCATGGGTTCAGTTCCAATGCATGAACCACACAGATGGACAGCTCAGACAAAAGCATCCATGAATGTAAATGGAGGATGTTTGAAATCCTCTTCTAAAATGAACATTTTTATCAGGCTCCTATGTGTAGGTTCAGTAATTTCACTTTAACGCCAATTAATAGGTTCTTTTCATTGCCATTAAAGTGAAATAACTGAACATAAACATAGGAACCTGAGAAAATACTAATTTTAGAAGAAAATTTCAGATGGCACTTAGTGGCTTTTGCATCTGAACTCTTCAAATGTAGATAAGAGAAGTGAACTTGACAGCGAAAATGCATTCTAAAAAAAACAAAAAAACAAAACACTACCTGTGCATGTGCTGTTTAACGCAAGGGTGTTTTTAAAATCTGCAAATGTTATACACTTATAAATTCAGAGTCATGTAAGTATTTCCATTTCACAAAACAGACTGTCCTAATACCAAACAAATTGCTGGTTATACTTCAAAGTGTGCACATGCGTCAACCAAATGGAGCGTGACAGAGAAAGGGAGTTATGAGAAATTTGACTAAAATATTTGAATACATTTGAATAAAAGTGTGGTGTTGCTTTGTTGAGAGCAATGTGTGCTGCTGTATATAACATTCTAAGTCACCTCATTCGAGTTAACACAGTTCTTCTTATTGTGATCTAAATCATTTTCATACATTTACATCATACATTTTCTATCTCCTTTTCATGGTATATTAGAGACATCTCTCTGACGAAGATTTTCAGACCGTACTTGGAATCTCCAGAGAAGAGTTTGACAGTTTGCCTCAGTGGAAACAGACGACCATTAAGAAGGAAAAGGGATTGTTTTGAAAAGTGACGTATGTTTTGTAAGTGCTGGTAGTGGGAAGAGGGAACACAGACGCATCTATATTTCCTATTTCAAAATCTTTTGTCATAATTGATATCACTAATGTAATCGTTCATATGCTCCAGACACAATAAGCATATTGTAGTTTAATTGCGGAACTTGTGCTGTTTTTGGTGAAAGCAAAATAAAAATATGTATATTTACAATAATTTATTTTGAATCTTTCTACTGCTGTTTTTTCTTCAAATGACATTACCATCTATCCTACAACTTATGGCTAAAGTGTGTACAAAGTGCTATAGAATACATAACCGAGGCAAAATGTTTTTAATTTCTGAGCAACTCTTTAGCAACAGATGCTTCCCCATTCGATTGATTTATTTTCTTATGTATAGTTTGAGTCTGGAGGAAATACTGTGAGCATTAACACCTGAACACTCACTTTTAAGTCAATGTATGACATAAAAACTGATATGAAAGCTGTGAAAAACGAAAGGTAAAGAAGACAAAAGTGTTGGGCTCGTTACTCAAAATGTTGTATTTATTACTCGTTACCAGTTAGTCCTTTCAAAGGTAATAGTATTACTTTACTGATTACTTTCTGGCAACAGTAATTAATTACACTACTAGTTACATTACTTTCACGCCCCACATAAGTTATGATGTATCTTTCCCATAAAATTATTTTAAAATGTTAACAATATATTTCCACACTTGATCACAGTCAGAAGTTATTACAAATGCTCATTTGTAATTTCTCTGTTACCCATATACAATTATATTTCATGATGTATTTTATCAAAAGAAATGACATATGTTCATAAGAAAATGTTTCATTTTCAAAAAAGATTTTATACAATTTATAAGCCAGTACAGTACAGTACAGTAATGCCACAACTTACCCGTCAGTGTTCAGATCATCTTTTCTCCTGACAAAATCAATGTGATGGCAATATCTCCATCCACTGAATGCTTTTCCATATTCCAAGCAAGCTTGGTGACTTCACGTGCCTCTGCAAGTCATGGAAATTATGAAAATAAATCCAGAAATTATTGGATTGTTGGACTTTAAACCAGTAGGGGTTGAGGCATCAAATGTAACCAAGTAATGAGCTGTTTTATGGATGGAAACTGTAATATTATTACTGAAATATTATTAGCAATTAGTTACACTACTAGTTACTGCAAAAATAAATATTATTAGTTACTGTTACTAGTAACTAGTTGCTGCCTAACACTGGAAGACAAACTGATTAATGTTGGTGTATAGGTGGAATTTTTGTGTTTCTGGAATTCCAGAAAGGACCAATGAGAACATTAATGTGTGATGGGAATATGAGAAGCTGTTATTCCAGAAGAAATGGACTGACAATGAATGTTACCGTCGTTCATCATCCAGGACAGGGGCTCCCAGCCACATTCGTGGAGCCCTCAACACTGCACTTTTCACATGTCTCCTCGATCTAGTGTTGTGCTTAAGACCATCTAAACTGAGACCAAGCGGAGAGCAGGACGAGGCCAAGAATTTGAGAGGTTGAGATCAAGACCAAACCAGCACTGCTCAAATTCATCTGAGAAATGTCTCATATCCAATCAATAAATAGAATTAGAACAATAAGACACGATATAGAGCTGTTACCCATCAAGTGAAATCACTAACAACAAAATTCATCCTTGCACTGCAGAGGTGGCACATAGGTTGCATCTGAATTAGTAAAATGATATATATATATACAAAAGCAGTCTTAAGTCGCTGGGGTATATTTGTAGCAATAGCCAAAAATAAATTGTATGGGTCAAAATTATACATTTCTCTTTTATGCCAAAAATCATTAGGATATTAAGTAAAGATCATGTTCCATGAAGATATTTTGTAAATTTCCTACCATAAATATATCAAAACTTAATTTTTGATTAGTAATATGCATTGCTAAGAACTTCATTTGGACAACTTTAAAGATGATTTTCTCAATATTTAGATTTTTTTGCACCCTCAGATTCCAGATTTTCTAATAGTTGTATCTCAGCCAAATATTGTCCTATCCTAACAAACCATACATCAATGGAAAGCTATTTATTCGGCTTTCAGATGATGTAAACATCTCAATTTTAAAAAATTGACACTTAAGACAAGGTTTTGTGGTCTAGGGTCACATATATATTATACATATACACACAGGGTAACAAGTTTAACAAGACAAGACACACCTGGGAAAGCTAAATAAAGTGGAACCAATTTACAAACTTACTACAAAAACCACAGGAAACACGAAGTGACATAAGAGTCTTAGACAAGACACAGAGAACATGTAAACAGTGGTGCTCTTTGCTGATACAAAATTATCTAAAAAAAAAATAAAAAAAGTTAGTTAGATTTTCAGCAGGTTGGCAGACTAGAATTTTTACTGAAATGCAACTTTGATGTAAAACTGCCAAACTTTCATTGACAAGCGCTTACCAACACTACTTATCACCTCACAAATATACCATTTGGAATAACAGAGATATTAAATATAATAGAAAAACAAATGCCCTGAAAAGAAAGGTATGTCATTCTATGGGGTTTGAACTTGTTTTGGTAAACTTCAGTTTGAAAAACTTATCCCTGGATGGATCACTTTTCAGGAAATTCTCAGAAGCCTCAATCCACCAGAAATGGATTTCACAGTATTTATCTGTCAGGGGTAATCATAGACGCATGATGCAACGAGTGCAAGAAATACTTTAAATAGCCAACATGGAAAACACTTGGAAGGAAACGAACACAAAGTACGTCAAACCACGACGAGAACCGACAGAGGAATGAACAAAATGGGGAGTACTTCCACACAGGGTTGGGCAAAGATATATCAAGATCCATACAAATAAAATACAAAATACCTTAATTTCAGGTGTATCAAAATAAACTACAAAATACAGCAGCCACACCATGTATCAAATTAAACTACTGTATTTTTGTATTTTAAAATGACTAAAAATACTTTTACAAGGGAGCGTGAACTTTCTTCACAAACCTTTCATCTATTTGATCTATCCCTCACCATTACACTGACTCAGCTGATTAAGTAAAGGATGTTTGATAGCAACAGATCTTCTCTGCCCGAGTCATGCAACAAATCTGACATATGCAACCAGTTAACAGACCAGATATTCACATATCCCTGTGATCTCCCAGATGAAGGTTAGTTTTAAAGTAACCAACACTTTAATGTTTAACAGTTTGCGAATGACTCATAATTGTATCCTAATTTAGTTACTTGGTGTTTGGTAACGAAGGGCCAACTTTGCATCAGCAACACTGACTCAATGACAAACACATCATTCATAAGAAGACAACTGAGGCACCTGTTTTCATAGCAACTAGTTTCTAACTAATTAATCATTTGATTTTTAATCATAAATATAATACTATATTATGTGTCAGGCAGTCATTCATGCAATGAAACCAGAACCTTACAAAACCCTCAAAAGCTGATTTCAGTCATTACTAGAGAATTAATCATGTTATTCGCATTAGAATACTGGTCCAAATAATTAGTCATTCTTTCTGAAGAACTTGGTAATAGTCATAACTAGTGGGTTACCATGATTTTAGAATTAATTATACATTATGCATTATTCATATTAATTATCAATCTGTAGACAGCAGATCTTAGTAGTTCTTGGGGAGGTATGAAAAAACAGTAGTTACTGATCAGCTGCACGTTTGACTAAGCACTACTAACTAATTCATTAATCAGAGTTTCTTGTTAGATTACTGCTTATATTGCATTACTCATGTGTTCTTGTGTAGTTATTCATTAATGATGGAACGGTATGTATCATAAATACTGCCCATCCCTGCTTACACATAGACAACTAAACTACAAACAAGTGGGATTAATCAGTAGGCCTAACCAAGGAAACACAGAGAACACAAACACAAAGAAACACAACATGATCCAGACATTGTCTGTTTAGAAGGTGTAGATATTACAAGCGTAAGAATGAAAATCTATGTGTAGAGGCAATACTACTCTCCCTTGTGTCATTATATTGGAAACACAGAATCATTGTAACAAATAATATGCAACAAACCAATAAAATTATAATGATATTTAATTATGTTTAAAGAGGTATATACTATTAAGAATATACTATTACAAAGTTTAAACTTGAAATGAATGTATATTCTGCACAAATGTTAGCCCACCTATTCTGGAACTGCCTTCTTATTAAAAATACTGGAGTGATGCTTTTAATCTCTCCATTAAAGAAAACTATTTACTCTGTTGTCAATACAATGACAAATATGTAATCATATTTGTATTATACATTTCTTAGTTATTTTTGGGAGATTCTGTCATCACAAGTTATTTCTGAAGGAATTGCAATGCTATGCGACGGTGAAGCTATGTAAAAATAATAAAGCGGGCCTGGTGTTTCAATAAAAAAAAATACAAAAATTAAAGAAGTTTAGTTCATCTTGTTGAAATCTAGTGTGAAACACTAATTTAGTCATGAAAAGAAATTCACACAAGTGTTTCATAGTTAAAAAAAAAAAGATTTTACAGATGTTCTGCCAAACACATTAGAATGAGACCAGAAGAAGAGTGTGTGTCACAGTTCTGCTGCTGTGCCCTAATTGGCGACCAGATGTCACTGTGTGTTTGTTTGAGCACGTGGCTTGCTGTGCGTTTGTTTGAGCAAGTGGCTTGTTGTGCGTTTGTTTGAGCACGTGGCTTGCTGTGCGTTTGTTTGAGCACGTGGCTTGTTGTGCATTTGAGCACTGGCTTGTTGGGCGTTTGTTTGAGCACGTGGCTTGTTGGGCGTTTCTTTGAGCACGTGGCTTGTTGTGCGTTTGTTTGAGCACGTGGCTTGCTGTGCGTTTGTTTGAGCACGTGGCTTGCTGTGCGTTTGTTTGAGCACGTGGCTTGCTGTGCGTTTGTTTGAGCACGTGGCTTGCTGTGCGTTTGTTTGAGCACGTGGCTTGCTGTGCGTTTGTTTGAGCACGTGGCTTGCTGTGCGTTTGTTTGAGCACGTGGCTTGCTGTGCGTTTGTTTGAGCACGTGGCTTGCTGTGCGTTTGTTTGAGCACGTGGCTTGCTGTGCGTTTGTTTGAGCACGTGGCTTGCTGTGCGTTTGTTTGAGCACGTGGCTTGCTGTGCGTTTGTTTGAGCACGTGGCTTGCTGTGCGTTTGTTTGAGCACGTGGCTTGCTGTGCGTTTGT